TCCACTCCAGAGCCTGCTCCAGTCCGGGAGCTCTCAGAGTCCACTCCAGAGCCCGCTCCAGTCCGGGAGCCCTCAGAATCCACTCCAGAGCCTGCTCCAGTCCGGGAGTCCTCAGAGTCCACTCATGAACCTGCTCCAGTCCAGGAGCCCTCAGAGTCCACTCCAGAGCCTGCTCCAGTCCGGGAGCTCTTAGAGTCCACTCCAGAGCCCGCTCCAGTCAGGGAGCTCTCCAAGTCTCTTGCTGGAGTGTCTGGTATCTGCTCCTTAAAGCCGGGGTCATGTCATAGCCATCTGCTGGTGTGCCAATGACAGCCACCAGAGGGCACTCCTCCCAGATCATTGTTTTTGTACTGGACTTCATTTCCCAGTACCCTTTGCCCAGACTATCATTCCTCATTGTTTTCAGCTGTGTGTAATTTACCTGTTTAGCACACCCTATATAACCAATGTTTACTCTGCCTTTAGATAGAGGTTTTGTATTGTCACCATGTTTTCAGTATGTTTGCTTGATGCCTGTTATCTGGATCATCTTACTTGTGCTTTCTGCCTTTGCTTGGTTTGGGATGATTTGGATTTATATTAAAGCTGCACGTGGATCTTCTACGAAGTCTTTGAGTGATATTCGTGACATATATATATATATATATATATTGTGATGAGTCGGCTGCCTCCCCCCTAATTATCATCATCACCCCGTCCCTTAATCGCCGCCCTTCACCAGGCTCCCGACAGGTGTGGGTGTGTGAGAGAGGAGGGGAGCAGAATCATCCAGGTCTGGCGACGTGTGATGAGGCACACCTGAAGTGAATGGAACCTCGTCACTGCCGCTGTTAAATGTCGAGCGCACCTCTCCTCGAGAGACCGGTCTCTTCCCCATGCATGCACGCTGGTGTCCTCGTGGGTCCAGGAAGGGTGCGTAGAGGGACTCCTGCACCGCAAGTGCCGCCAGCTGCCGGATCCGCGGTCTGGATGTGAACCGCACCCGTGACATGGTTGTCGGGCCAGGATGCCGGGCCATTTAATCCCAAGGAAGCGCCTTGGGCCAAGGAGGACGAAGCCGCTCAGAAGAAGCCACCACCCCTCGCGCCACGGACCAAGAGGGGAGCACGTGCGGCCGCCGGATATATATATATTAGGGCTGTCAGTTTAACGCATTAACTTGATTAATTAGAAGGAAGCGCCTTGGGCCAAGGAGGACGAAGCCGCTCAGAAGAAGCCACCACCCCTCGCGCCACGGACCAAGAGGGGAGCACGTGCGGCCGCCGGATATATATATATTAGGGCTGTCAGTTTAACGCATTAACTTGATTAATTATTTATGAAAAAATAACGCGATTACAATATTTTAAAGCAGTTAACGCACTGGCCCCGCCCCAGACCTGTACGTCATCTTCAATTTCCTACAGTTGACTGTTGACAAATATGATGCAGGACAACAACTCCATAAATGCAGTTATGCCCTAAAAATTCAAGATATTGGGGCAAAAAATGCCCCTGTATGAGTTTTTATCTCATATTTATATCATATGATAAGCGATAACACACCAGCAGCGAGAGCAATTATCACATGAGTGCTGTTTTAATAGGCAACTGAATCATTGGTTCACACGATTCGTTCAAAACGCGGATTCATTCAGAAATTAAACATCGCTGTGTTGCTCGGAGATGCACAACAGTTCTGCTGTGGCTTTATAGGTAATATGTTCGTTGGCAAAATTGAACAAAAACTCACAATATTGT